CTCTATTTTAGTAGTTTAGCTAATAAATCTATAGACTAAAAGTTTAAACTTCTTTATTAATTACTTCTTAACTCTCTATATATAGTTAACTTTATATAGATCTCTAGTAAAAGATTAAAGGTTAAAATATAGACTAAATACTTTAAACTTATTTACTAGGAATAATAAAAAGGTCCTCTTTTAAGCTTAAACTATTAAAATATCTATATAAGCCTCAAATTATTAGTTAATATCCTATTTAATACTAAAGTTTCTAAAGATACTATCTTAAATTTAACTTTCTAAAATAAATACTAAAGTAGATACCTAAGTTATTAATTACTAAGTCTATAGTCTATTAATATATTTAAACTTATTATATAATAAAGTATAGTACTTATAATACTTAAGGGAGTATTTACTATACTTATTAAGGTATAAAGTTATCTTTTTATAATAATAGCTATATATCTTATACCTATAAAAATTCTTAAGATACTTAATATTATATAAGATATAGGGATCTTATACCTTAGTATTCTTAGACTTAAATACTTAAGTTTGCTTCTTTATAATAAACTTCTTCTTATTTAATAGAGCTTTAATACCTTAAGAAGTTTACTTATATTATTCCTTTTTACTTAAGCTTTAAAGCTCTTATAAGAAATTATTATAGCTTTAAATCCTTATAATAAAGTTATTCTCTATAAAGTCTACTTTAACTTAATTAAAATATCTAAAATCCTAAATAAATCTATAAGTAAGAGCTATAATTAATAAACTTATACTAAAACTATTTAGTTTATTAAAAGTTAAATAAAGATCTTATATAAAATCCTTAGTATTATTATAGTTAACTTTAGTTATTCTATTCTAATTATTATAGATTTTACTTATAGCTAACTTATTAAACTTCTAAGTATATTCTTTAGTTTTAATAAAAATATAGAAAGCTAAAGCTATAATAGAAAAACTATTATTAATTATTTCTTCTAAGAGATTATATTAGATCTTTTCTATAAGTAACTATTTAGTAAGTATAAAACCTATAAATATTAGATTACCTAAAGAACTTAAATCCTTAACTATTATTACTTTATTTTTTTTAAAAATTATATCTCTATTATATCTATCTAATATCCCTTTAGCTATTAAATAAAAGAGCAATCCTATTACCTTAAAAATATTCTTAAGATTAATCTCTTATAACTTAAAGTTTATAGCTTTAGTTAGCTTAAAAACAGCATTATATACTAAACTTCTTAAATCTAATCCCTTACTAACTACTTTCTATATAGCTACTCTAGTTATAAGGTTTATAGTAGAAGAAGGGGGAGAGCTAATCTAAAATAATCTCCTTTTAATAGAGCTAAAAGAAAATAAAATTAAATTACTAATTAAAGATATATTATTTTTATTTAATTAATTTAATAGTTTAAAAGAGATTTAAATAGTAATTAAGAGTAATTATTAGATAGTTATTAAGTAGTTATTACTATATAACTATAATAATTATTAAATAATTATTAACTTTAGTAGCCTAAAAACTAAGGAGATTTTATAAGTAGAAGATATATATTATAATAGCTATAACCTCTACTTAGAAATATTACTTTTAGTAGCTTAATAATCTATTAATTACCTTATAGTAATTACTAAATTATAAGGTTAAAGTCCTAATAGCTACTTAGGAATAACCTTACTATCTAGTAAATAGATTTAGGTATTTAGAGGGCTTATAACCTGCGTGAAGTAGCTTAATTAATCTAGCTATAAGCGCTAGGCGCGACTAGCTACAAAGTAGTGTGGCCGATCCCTTACGTAAAGGCGGGATTCAGGCCAGGTTTCAGGCCTCAGGCCCGGGCCCAGCCAACTACCGTCTCGCAACTTATGACTGCGGTCGGGTGCACTGAATTCCCTAAGGTAGGTACCTAGGTGCCTACCTACCTAGGTGTAGATTCGCGGAGAGGCCGACGTCGGCGGAGGTCGGCCGGCACTGCAAGACTTCCGAAGGCACTGGCCCCGTCGCCACGGAACCCACCTGCTAATTACCAACTTCACTGTGATAGCCCGACTTGCCTCAATCCAAGCATACTGGACAGTGCAATGAAACCCGAAATGTGAATACTTGGACTGACCTGCCAGAGCAAAGCATTGGCTGTGCACCAAGGGTCTGTCTTGGTCTACTAGAGTTTCAAATTCACTGGGGTTTCCAGGTGCATTTGGCACGAAGCACGGCATTGTCGAGTTGTCTCGCGTGCCGTCTGTTATCAGCTCAAACCCACTTCAAAATGTGTGCTTCATGCATGCCGGGCACAAACGTAAAATAACGTTTCCTATTTGGTACTCAGTGTCTTATCTATTCTACAGTCATGCGAAACCACAAAAGTCGTGCAACGACTGCTCGTACCTCGGCGTCTGCAAGTGTTAACACGCAACCTTTCTCAATCGGCCACAGATCCTGTACCCCGAACTTTGCACCCCGAACTTTGGACTCTATACTACATATAAGCATAAGGACTTATCCAGCTCCCACCTGATTGCACTGGGCCGAATTGCTGGGTCGGCCGCCATCACTGAGGTGTGCTAGTGCCACCTGACAACTTTGTCTACAGGTCAAATGACCGCCTGCACAGATCTTAAGTATCCAGAGAGCGGTTGCCGAGAAGTAAGGGCCAAGTTTGACAGAATGCCTGGCGGAAATGGGGGGCACGCTCTTAAGCAGAATACTCCGTACCCCAAGAGCAATAGCCACTTACTGTCTGCAGGGGCTTCTGGACTGCGTACCGTCTTCAGGCTCGGACTAGGCCAGGAGAGCAATCAGGCGACAGCAGCAACAGGACAGAGATGGCGAGATTGGCGTGGCAGGCCCGTCCGTTTGACACATGCACGCGCTGCACGCCTAGATGCCCAGAAGATGCAATGTATCGAGTACTACGGCTTTTACGTTACCAGTATGTAATACCCAGACTACCATTGGTACAGTTACCCTGCAAAAGTCCTGCCCCATTCCACATTTCGCGAAACGCGTCACAATATATCACTATCTTTAACGATTAATTTTAATAGTAAATTATACTTAATTTAGATAAAATAATATATTAAAAATTACTAAGACTTCACTCTTTACTATTATATATACTAACTTTTAGTATAATATAAAACCTCTAAGTATTTATATAATAACTATATATATTAATATATAGCTTTATTATTAAGGTTTAACTATATTTAAAGTATATACTTTTTAAACTTTATAATATCTACTTTATTATCTTTAAAAAGATAATAGTTAAAGAATATTTTATTAATCTTATTTTTAAATATACTTTATATATTTTTAATAAAGTTAAGATCTAAAAAATATAAAAGCTAATTAATTATCTAAATATTATATTCTTCTAACTAACTCTTTATTAACTTTAATATATATATATATATATTATTTTACTAAAAGTAATACTTTAGGATATACTCTTATAAAAGAGTCTCTTTAAATATTTTAATATAAGATTATAAAGTATAGTTATTATATAGTATATTAAGATCCCTCTCTATAAAGATTAAATAACCCTTACTATAAGTTAAAATTAATATAAAGACTATAAGAGATATTATAAATTTCCTATAGCTCTAGTTATTAATATACTTTAAGTGTAGTCTTTCTATATAATTTAATATATAGCTTTATACGTAAGAGTTTAATAGCTTATTCTATAGTAGTTTTATTACTAAAAATACTTTCTATTAGCGTTTTAACCTATAAGTACTAATAATATATAAATTTACACTAATATAGTATATCTATATCTTTTAACTAAATCTTTTTTAAAGTATACTATTTATATATATTATTTTTATATAGAATATATTATATAGTATTATAAAAGACCTTTAGTATATATTTAATAACCTCTATATAGAAAGCTTTAGCTTTAATTTAAAAGCTTTAATAAATAATAGAAATAATATAATATTTATTTTAAAAGCTTAGTTTTTAGGGATAACTAAAATAAAATAAGCTTTTAAAAATATAATAATCCTATATATAGTTAAGTATATAATAGATAGTCCTATAATTAATATTAAATATAGTAGTAATTACGCTTTTTAGTATACTATTTATTATAAGCGAAGTAATTACTATATAGGTTTCTAGCGTAAGTAGCTAAGATCCCTAGCAATTACTAGAGATCTTAGTACTAAAAGCTTATAGAAGCGACGCTATACACAAAAGTTATATAGGTAGTAAGTTGTAGTAGGGTTAGGGCTAACATGTCGAAACGCGTATGACGCGTGGCGTGGGGCAGGACTTTTGCAGGGTAACTGTACTTGTTACGTAGTGGTTTGGTTGTTTGGCTGATTTGGCAAGCCACTTTTACCGGAAAGCAGATTGCTGCAGCGTCGCGGTAGCCCGAGGAGCTCATCCCCAGGGGGCACCCAATTGCTCTCTTCCCAAGACCTCCCTAAACCTCCAAGACCCCTGTATCTCCCTACCTAGCAAATGCAGGTGCACGGAGCTGGGCAGGGAACCTCCCACGAGTATCCGCACCTACGTTGCGATTTCCACACTCCGCAGGAGGATTCGTGATCCCAAAGATAAGGGATCCGGCATCGTCCTGTCCTCTTAACCTCTCTCCCACCACCACCACCTTCCTCCTCCTCCACCTCTTTCCCGCCCACCACCGCTACACTACAACGCCTACCACAACCGCTGTCGCCCCCGGCCAACTCTTCTTCAACACTACGAGCATTCTACGGCTGCTTCTTCTTCTGAAATCTTCATGTTGCATGCCTACAGTCTCACCCGCATCGCCATGATCATTGCACCTCCGATAGTCCAAGTACACTGAGCCGAAACATCCCAATAATCATATTTTTCTCTTCGAGTGTTTGCCACCATCGCTTTCGCCGATCGTCTCTTCACCGATTGGTACCAACGAACCGACCCCGACAGACATCCGTTTTCTCAAAGCATGGTATCTTGAGAACGCGCGTTCCTCGATTCGAAACTGTACAAAATGGCCAACCCGAAAGAGAGGGAGAAGGAGCTGCACCGCGCGCGCCTCGTCGCCAGCGTCGCGGCAACCGTCATCTCCCTTGCCTGTGGCACCAACGTGAGTTGGCGCCTGGATCGTTCCCCAAAAGCACCATGTTCGCAAGAGGACCACGGCCGCTAACAAGCTGTTATTGTGCAGTACGTCTACTCAGCATGGGCACCACAATTTGCCGAGAGATTGAAACTCTCCTCGACCGAAACGAACGTCATCGGCCTCTCAGCCAACTTGGGAATGTACTCACTCGGCGTTCCCGTCGGCATGCTAGTCGATCATAAAGGCCCTCGGTCCGCAGTCATTGGTGGTTCCGTTCTGCTTGCTCTCGGTTACTTCCCTTTCCATATTGCCTACGATCGCGCGGCCGGCGCTGTCCCGCTTCTCTGCTTCTTTTCGTACCTCACCGGCCTCGGCGGCTGTATGGCCTTTGCTGCCGCTGTCAAGACGTCCGCCCTCAATTGGCCTCATCATCGCGGCACTGCAACGGCTTTTCCTCTCGCTGCGTTTGGCCTGAGTGCCTTTTTCTTCTCAACATGTGGCACCCTCTTCTTTCCGGGAAACACCAGCGCCTTCCTGGCCCTACTCTCATTTGGAACCTGCGGCTTAACTTTCCTCGGCTTCTTCTTCCTGCGTGTTTGGCCCCATACCAGCTACCATAGTCTGCCCGCCAGTGACGTCCTGTCCGGCTCACAGCAGCTTCATCGTACGTCCTCGGAGGAGGCAAAAGCCAACCGCTCCGGTCCTGGGCGCCGCTCCTCCTTGGTTGAACCTGGTACGTCGCCCAAAAACACAAAAAATACTACTACAACCACTCTCAATCCCACCGCCGACAACGAGCCGATTTCCCCTCGGAATGAACCGTCCGCGCCGTCTCGCGAGGCTGATGAGGCGCAAATCGAAGCCGTCGACGACGCCGATGATTACGAGCCCGACGAGACGTCCTCGCTAGTGTCGAGCTCCTCTTCAATGCCCGGTGATGTGTTTGTCCAGAGTAGTGTTGATATGGATCGTTCCCATCGTGTAGATATTCGTGGTTGGCACCTGTTTCGTGAACTCGACTTTTGGCAGTTGTTTTGCATCATGGGCATTCTGACCGGTATCGGGTTGATGACTATCAAGTACGTTCCTCATACTTCCTTCCGCTGTCTGTGTGAATCAAGTGCTAAACAGCATTCTCAGCAACATTGGTAACGACGTGAAAGCTCTTTGGCGCCACTGGGACGAGTCAGTTGATGAGGCATACCTCATCACCATGCAACAGCTGCATGTCTCTATCCTATCCCTGTGCAGCTTTGCCGGCAGACTTCTGAGTGGTACGTCATTCCCGACTTGGCCTGGCCACACAAACCCCAAACTGACCTGTCGCGAACAGGTGTTGGCTCGGATTTCATTGTCAAGGTCCTTCACGGCAGTCGGGTATGGTGCCTTGTCGCATCCAGCGCCGTGTTTTTCGTTGCTCAAATTCTGGCGCTGAATGTAACCAACCCTCACCTCTTGGGCTTGGTCTCTGGCCTATCAGGCATCGCCTATGGCTTCCTCTTTGGTGTCTTCCCCTCAATTGTTGCTGAAACATTCGGTATTCACGGCCTCAGCCAAAATTGGGGTTTGATGACACTCTCCCCTGTTGTTTCGGGCAATATTTTCAATATCTTTTACGGCAAAATTTACGATCAGCACAGTATTCTTGGGCCGGACGGCGAACGCGTTTGCCATGATGGGCTTAATTGCTACCGCGCCGCCTATCTGATGACCTTGGCGTCGTGCTCAGTTGGCCTCGTTCTGACGCTGTGGGTGATCAGACACCAACGCGTGAAGTGGGCCAAGGAGGAGAAGGACAAAGCTGAGCAGCTGGATTAGTGTGGCAGATCGTCAAGTTGTCATTGGACTGGCTGCTTGTCAACCACTACGGATCCTCGGTATTGAGGAGAAAAACTGCCGGTCTCAAACGGTGGAGAAGAAGCACTTCTAAACGTGGTCGTCGCCGATCTGGCGTAGAACCACAAATGACCATATCACATAGACGGCGGGCGTTTAGTTTGGGAGACTTTGTTATGGGGCAATGGCGCACTCAGGTCATAGAATGATGGCAACTTTCCATATTAACTTTCGTGAAATTTGCACTTGGCATTTCGCCAGCATTTCATTCGCGTCAAACGCTGCAGTGAGAAGATCGTGACACCCCATTAGCGATGATGCATGTGCCTCAGTAAACACAAGGGCCCGCTCCAAATATTTGCACTGTTTCCATTACCCCTTCGCTCTTTGTGCAACCCGAGCGCCACTTGCTGTGCCTCTAATGCCTGGCAAATGCGGAGTTGTCGTGTGGGCGCACCTAATAATCATATTGGTCTTCCTGACCTCATCCTAACAGTTGTTCAACACCTCTCTGATGTCGAGGTTGCGGTCTCATTTGAACCGCGGGCGCATTAAAAGAAAATCGCATCAAGCGCTAGAAATCCCCCCTCCCGGCGCAGCATTATGGCAGTAGCCTGAGAAGCGAAAATGCCCTTTGTAACCTGTTCTCCATCTCTTGTAGCGAATCCATCAGCTCCAAGCATACATTTACATTCGTCCTCCTAGGGTAGCGTCAAGAGAAAGAGCGAAAGGAAAATCAAAAATGAATCAAGCCGGGGTGTGTTCAAAGGCGCCATGCCCATTCCAGGCGGAAACTTGTTCGTTTCAGCGCCTCCAGCCAAATGCGTGAACCGTATGAACTCCAAGCCAATGCAAGATGCAAACGAACAAAATAACAAAACCACGAAAGACTGTGCCGACGCCAACATCGTGGTCTAAAGGTCCGGTTTCAGCTGGGCGCCAAACCGAGGCAAGGGAGGTTCTGGCGCCAAGCAAAGAAAGCCGAGACGTCTATATTGGAGAAGACAAGAACACCTGACCAAGGAGCGCCTGGGCAGTACCCACGGCGAGGGGGTTTTCGGGACTGCCTCTTATGTACAGTGCGCGAGAAATGAAAAGAGCGTGACTTTCAATGAAGTCGATTCGCACCGGCTGCCTAGACGTCGCGTGCCGTTCACTTCACCCGACATGGTGTCGCGCCGGTTTCTTATGGTGTTTTGCCGCCCTTTCGATCCGCATTTGAACCGTTTTCAAATATCGAGCTGAAGCCCGCTAGGGCCCAATTTTCTGCTGTAGAATGAATCACGACCAGCCATGCTGCCACCAGGTTGACGAGGTAATGTAGCATATATGCATAAGAAACCCCGTAGATAGCGGCGTAGATTGCCGTTCCGAATAGCAGCACACTGGTCAAATGTCTGAGCTTGCCAGTGACCCTGGGCACCATTTTGCCAGTAGTCATGTTCTCCACTAGTAATATGAACGGCATAATGGAGAGCACGTTATGGTGCGATGAGAATGGTGTAAGCCAGTGTACGGCGAGGTTGCGGATCCAGACGGCTAATATCGGCAGATTGATGGGAAGTACCCATAGCATGAGCAGCAGAATCGAGTGGGCGTAGTGATAGAAGTCATATGCTGGTGCAGACTTTTCTGAGGCTATTCTGAGAGCCCTTACAACTGTGAATAGCTGAACGAGACACGCCACCAAGTACGCGAACTGATACGGAATGAATGTCGAAACCAAAAAAAGTAGGATGGCAGTGGTTATCATGCGACGCCGAGGTGAGGATGGAGCAAATATAGGCGAATGGGATCTCCGCCGTTCGTCTCTACTACCATGGCCAAAAGGATGAACGACTACCCAAGAGTAGACGACGCCGAGAAGCTGTGTAAGCGCCAGAGTAACGAAATGGAGCACGGCGCAAACACCGATGCAAACGACCCCGATGAGAGGTATAAGAAACCAAAAGAAAGGATCTTGTGTACCCGTCAGGAGATCGTTGCTTTGGAAGTCGCCCGCAGCAGACGTCGTGTTGCGCCAGTGCCAAAACCCACCAGGCCCTGTTGGCCATGATCCCGTCATTGACAATGAGAGAAAAGTCAATGACAGCAGCATGAGTGGTAGGGATTGTCGTAAGCAAAGATCCAGACTTTCAGAAAACGAGATGAATGTGCCTGTCGTGTCGTATACTCGGAATTGTTTGCGAAGTACGAGGGCTACCACTAGTAGCGGAAATGCTGCAAAAACCGTTCGATATCGCATGTACAGCTTTCCGAGACTTCCCAAGGCGTCGACCGTTAATTTGACTTGAATGCTGGACTCGCAAGTCGGGTCTGTCCAGAATTGAAAGCTCAGTCCCTGTTCATCGTGCCTCTTTGGCCGCAATGGGGGAGGGACAAATGGCGCCACTCCATGAATGCTGACACTGGCATGTCTAGCATTGACAAAGAATTTTGACTCGTACGGTTGAGCGAGATACTGACGGATCAAAGGAGAAAATATCTCAGCTTGGCCGCCGCAGACCTGATTGCCGACCTCCAAGTTATAAGCCAGCAAGCTGGACTGAAGAGCAGGGACATTGATTTCCGCCACCATAGGGCGGCTAGCTGGCAGCCTCAATGTCATGCCAAACGCCAACAGTCGTCGAAGGCTAATATTACGCGTCCTGTGCGATTGCGAGTGGTCGCTAAACTCTGCTACAACGAAGTTTGTCGTAGGCTTGAGTGCTTTGTCAATAATAGCAACAAACTGATGATCAGCGATGTCTTCGGTGTCGTATTGTAGATATGAAAATGGACGTGTCGCAGGCTCATTGTCCACGGCAAACGGATGACGATGGGACTTGGTTGAAGCGGGCAACAGCATGGCGTCGTTTGCGGCGTTCTTGCATGCCAGTCGAGTGGACCCTGTACTGTCTCCTGACAGGTCCATATTCAAGGTGAACAAGTTCGTGGCCTGACCAGGTTGGAGGGGGAACACGCTGCAAAAGAGCACCTCAAGCTTTCCATGCTCCCCCGATTTATCGAGGCCAACATCAGTCAAAAGAGTGAATCGCTTGCCCTCTGGGGTCCCTTGCGGGGGAACAGGGAGCAAATGAGCCCTCGGTTTCGAACTCAGTCCCAGTTGACGCAATACCAAACGCTCGCCCTGGGCCATGATATCGTTTGCGTTGTCTTCCAGTGTAAGCAGCGTAGATGAGCCCTCGGAAGGCAACGTTTTCTCGGCAATGGACTCCATACCAGTGAGAAGCCATTTCTTGAACACTCTCATCCTCTCGGCTCTGGGTTTTGTCTGCGATGACCTATGGACATCAACAACGTCGTACATAGCTCGGGCCACAACTTTTCTAAATTGGTCACACCACAGAATCGCCTGGTGATCCATGCTGGTCCAGACCTTGGGGATACCGGTGGTAAAGACGGTGAAGCCGTGGGTCTCGGGAATGATCGACTCAACGCTAGCATAGTCGGATGGCACTACCGTGTCCAAGCCCCCTCCAGCAATCGAGACGAGAGTAACGTGCCACAGTGGGTTATTGTTGGCCCACTTCTGCGAGTAAGCTCTGCGCCAGTAATCGTTGATATCTTCGTAGATTTTTACAATCTGTCCGTCAAAAGTGACAGGAGGACGGGAATGCGGAGCAGACATAGTGATGATGGTGTTGATCGAATAAGACTGGTAGTTGGGCATTATGAGCATGGTGCGCGCTACGATACCGCCCATGGAGTGGCCCAGGATCAAAACGGACGTCGGGTCTGGCAGGTCCGGGTCTCGAGCTGACATTCGCGGGTCCATATATAAAGACAAGATATACCGAATCGCCTCATTCAGGTATTCCGCCTGGTCCAGCATGGTCTGTCCATGGAATGCAGTGATATCCTCGTTGAAGTCGACGGTGAAGAAGTCGAGGTTGCGGGCACCAGCGGCGGCCGCAGCCTCGTCATGTTGTAGGGACTCGTGGAAATAGTTTGCGGCCTCTGCTGCTATCGGACGAACTTGTTTGTAGCTTCCAGCATTACCTGGGATGAATAGAACAGGGACACCTCTCAACTAGAGCCTATGTTAATATGGCATGCCGCGTAGGCGCAAAAGTCCAGGGACTTACCTTTCTTTCATCGTCAACGCCTTGCTCGCGATATAAATACAGAGAATATTTCGTCGCGAAGCGGGTATGCTCCGTGTCGAAGTCGCGTAGACGTATATACGTGGGTCGCATGTAAGACATCCGACATCCCTTGGCGTCGAGCTGACGGGTCCAGGACGAATTCAAGATGGCGCAAAGCAGGGTGATGCCAAGAACAGTGACAGCAAGGGCGAGAATGGTGATGGACCACGGGCCACGAAATCGAGGGCGACGACTAGTGAAGCGCATTTCAGCCATATTTTCAGTGGTCGTGGAGGCTTTCTCGTCGTCGTCTTCTCCGCCTTCGTCGGTGGCGGGGGCGTGATCTCCGTCGTTGTCGTCGAGTTGATGGACACGGACTACGGACTGGGGTTGGTGGTGGTGGTGGTGGTTCGGGGGCTGGCGCTGTGTGTTGCTTCGACGAGCGGTAGAGGATGAGGGCAACGGCGCGGCCAGGGATGGGTCTGGCAAAGGCGACGAAGAAACAGTTATGGGATGGTTGTCGAATGATACATTCGGTCCATATTCGAGCTTCCAATTGGCGTTGAGTGATCGTTTACTCCTCGCAGAAGACGGTCTCGAGGCAACTGGCAGATGTTTGGGGTGTGCGACAGAATTGCGGGTGCGAGCAGGCTCTTGGATCGTGGTTACAGGAGGCTCAGCAAGAGGGTCGTCGCTGTCGTCGGTCGAACCCGACGAGCGCCTCTTCATGGGTGGAGAGGGCTCGCTCGAGTCTTCCTCGGGAGGAAATAGTCGGTCGATTGAGCCGTCGGGATACGTTTGGGACGGAAAGGAGGAGAGAATGGGAGCTGGGGCGATCGTAGGTTAGAGACGATGCGGACAAGCGAGAAGAGGGACGAGGGAAAGAGAGAAGCGTGCTACTAGAAGGGACTTACCTCACCATTGGAACAAGCGAGTAAGGGTCTGGGACGCTGAGCTGATGCACTGTGATGCGGAAGGGTTTTGGGGGGGCGATGCTAGGTGCCGAGCTACCTGAGGTGCCTAGGTAGGTAAGGTAACGCAGGTAAGGTACATTGGGCTTGCAGCAACCTACCTAGCACAATCGAGGTGTCGGCTAATAGGTGTTCTTGAGGACCCCCATCAGAGCCCGAGTGCCTGCAGACCTACCTAGGTACCCAAAGGTAGGTAGGCAGGTAGAGGCTCGGAAATGTCACTTGGGCCTGAAGTGGCCTGTGGTTCTGGATGCGACGAATACCTGCCTACCTAACCAGCGGCCGTGCAGGCTTTGACAGTGCCTTGAAAGTTTCCGCGGTTCCGCTGCGCTGGGCTGGGAATGCGTGCAGTGATAAGCCGAATACCTACCGCATGTACTTTACATGTACCTGGTGAGTAGGTAAGGTACCTTAGATTATCTCGTTTCTTCCTTCTTCTGCCTTAGGTCAGGTAATCACCCATCCCCTTATCTCCAGGTAAGGTTCAATACCTAGGTAAGGTACCTCCGGATACTTGCGTAGGTAGTAGGTATTTCTCTAGGTAAGCGCCTACCTGCCTCCTCCTTAACATACTCGCCGATCTAGGTGCCTTGTGAAAGGTCGTTCTCAGAAGCTTCTGCGACCCGGGCCTCCCGATACGTCGCTGTACCGCACATGCAGAATTAAATAATTGCCTCAAATGCACCCTGCAATTGTACTCGTACAAAGCGATAGCTCTAGGAAGGCTAAGAGCTGGCCTTGCATTGATTACGAAAGCATGGTGTATTAGGTAGACCCCTGGTCCACCTCGGTCTCCTTTCCCTCTGATATCTCGCGCTGCCCCGGCATCCCTGGCCCTCGAACCGCCTATCATTGCCCCAATGTGACATGAAACGTTTTCTGCTTGTTTCTCCAGCAAACGCTGTGTTGGTCGCCGCCCTCGTTTCCTGCTTCTTTTCTGTTGACATAATTATCCTCTATCTTCTTATTTTGTTCGTGATCCTGCCTTGCATCTACTTCCGGCACACATGCTCACGCCCGCCGTCTTGGAATGCAAGAGTAATACGCGACCACAAAGTAGCCTCAGAGATAAGCCAGACCAGGTTCGTTGATCCGCTGAGCTCACCAAGCCTGGCCAGAACAAGATCGAGATCCGACGCAGTCAACGGCAGGTAATCTCCATTACGGCGCTGTGCTCTGCACATTTCTTTCCAACTACAGATATCCACTGTAGTGGTAGAGATGGCTGGCTCCGCCAATGGCTTCAATAAGTCCATACCTTTCGTAGGAATGTCTTGGCTGGGGACTAGATGTACCTAGACGGGTAATTCGCAGTGGACACCTCAGACAACGGCCCGATCTGCCACAAACCCATCAAACCCCCGTTCGGCACGGTACTCGTGTACCCGTGGATGTTCAGTGAGGTCACGGCTCAGGACCAATGACGAGCTTACGACTCTCAAATCTCACAGGCGATGGGTTTCATGGACCAGGGCTGCGCTTGTAACGAGGCCAGAGATGGTCGCCGTTTCCTCGCTCCTTGAGCCGCCGGCCTATGTACAATTTGCTTCTATTCAGCGAACCGCATCTTGCCTCCGGAGAAAGATTAGGAATGGCTCGTCGGCAGCGATTGGTCGCTTATTACGCATCTGCTGACTCCCAGATTAGCGGACTGAAGGCCCACGTTTCTAGTGTCCACTTACCCTATAAGTCCCGAGTGTCAAGCATTTTTTTGACCAAGAAACGCGTCCTTCAGAGCGTGCCAAGGCGGCAGTGGCAGTGCGTGTAGCGTGGCGACTTGGGCGCGCTGTCTTGTGTTTGGGTGAGTTGCTATCCGTAGGCAAGGATGACAAGGTACCGTGGTAATTCTAGCCGCCTTGCTTATGTCAGGTAGCCTACCTTCCTCCCTTCCCAAGTCGCGACCCAGATGCACCTTACCTTATCCGGCAAACACACTATACGCGCCTGGCGCGTCTTCCAGTTCAATGACAACACCCGGTCCATCCTCTTGATGGAATGAATGTATGGAGTATTGAACTTCGAAGAAACTCATCGTCGAAATGGCCACTATAAAGCCCATCGAGGGCCGCACCGTAAGCTTGATTACGCTGCCCCCTGAAAATAGCATAACCACGATCCCCTGCTGACAATTCTCGAAGGTGCATCAAATACAATCTGGCCAAGTTATCGTTGATCTCTGTTCTGTTGTCAAGGAATTAGTCGAAAACAGCATCGATGCGGGCGCCAGTAGCGTAGGTATGGTTGCCAAACTCATTTCAGTCCAGATATGCCAGCCGTTTCTCTCTTTCTCACCCTTGCTTGCTGACGGCTCATCGAAGACGTTCGCTTCAAGAACCAGGGTCTCGATTCGATCGAGGTTCAAGACAACGGCTCAGGCATCTCGCATGACGACTACGATACTATTGCCTTGAAGCACTACACTTCGAAGCTTTCAACCTACGCCGATTTAGCTACCCTCGAGACATTTGGTTTCCGTGGTGAAGCCCTGTCTTCACTATGTGCGCTATCGCGGTTCAGTATCGTCACTTGCCTAGCAAAGGACGTTCCCAAAGGAACCAGACTCGAGTTCGAAATTTCAGGCAAATTAGGCAATACAAGTGTTATTGCTGCTCAGAAAGGCACCAATGTCATCGTCGAGAATCTTTTCTATAATCTGCCTGTCCGTCGTCGCGAACTCGAACGCAACATTAAACGAGAATGGAACAAGGTCATTTCGCTCCTCAATCAGTATGCCTGCATCCAGACGGGTGTCAAATTTACCGTATCACAGCAGCCCAGCAAGGGCAAACGCATCGTTTTATTCTCCACCAAAGGCAATCCGACAACTCGTGAGAACCTCGTCAATATATTTGGCGCCAAGACGATGATGGTTCTGGTCAAGCTGGACATGACGCTAGATTTCGAGCCAACCGTCAGTCGTGGTGTGAAAAATGCACAGAGGATTGAAAAGGTTTCTACTGAAGTCCGTGTTCAGGGGTACATCAGTCGGCCAGCGCATGGCGAAGGCCGCCAGACTCCAGATCGCCAGATGTTTTTCGTCAACGGGAGGCCTTGCGGCTTGCCTCAGTTTGCTAAAGTTTTCAACGAGGTTTACAAAGCATACAACTCGTCACAATCTCCCTTCATATTTGCAGACATTCAACTTGACACTCATCTGTATGATGTCAACGTCAGCCCTGATAAACGCACCATCCTCTTGCATGACCAAAATCGAATGTTGGAAAACTTAAGGGAGGCCTTGACTGCTCTCTTCCGATCACAGGACTACTCTATACCAGTGGGGCAGTCATCCACGCAAAAGCTTCATCGAGGTACCCAAGCCACCGTAACCGACATCGAGGTCGACGGCGAGGGCAAAGGTACTCAGACTGTGGCACAAAACACCAAGAAGCCGACGTTCACAGCGAATGGGCCACGCCCAGCCATCCAGCACCACGGTTCAAGCTCTGAGGATGGAGAGGATCGATCCCCACCGCGCAGCAAACAAGTCCGAAAGACTCGTGCGACACAGCAAAAAATAACATCACCCGCAGACCTACAGTCGCAAAGTTTGATGAGTCGCTGGGTTGGAAGAACAGCAAAAGATAGTCGAGAACCCGACGAGCCGCGGTCGAACAGGGGGGGCGATACCGGGATATCGACAACTCCCGGACAGCCTGGTGAATCACAAGGAGAAGATGAAGTTGCTGAAGAGCCGCCAGGGTCCCCAGTGAAGGTGCTGGATACTACGCCAGCAGGCACAGTAGAAACCCCTCGGAGGGTGCTAGACTTTCGTGCTCGTCTCGCCGAGCTGGATAAGCGAGAGGACCCCGAAGCACCGTCAAAACATGTACCAAGCACTTCTGAAGGCGGAAAAGCCTCTGACCAAGCTGAGATCCCAGCCATTACGCCGATTAGGACTCCGGTAGACAACAGCATGCCGACAGCGACGCCACGAATGTCGAAAAGACATGCCCCAGATGTTGCTACCATTATCATTGGAGACTCCACCGTCGTAGGGTCAGCAGAAACACACGCTAAGAAATTGAAGCTCGATCAGGGGACAGGACATGGAAAATCGCCCACTAGCAAACCCACGACCTTAAGTTCATCCTCCGGCTCTCGTTTGACACAGATTCTTTCAGCCAATCGATCTAGAGATGATGCGGAAAAGGCCAGTGACAGTTTGCAAGATCTAGACAAGATCGGCGCAGCCACGGACGTTGGTAGCCAAGCGAACGGCTCCGATTTGCCCAGTTCTCTTAGAGAGAATCATTCAAGCGAGGCAATGGAGACTGTTAACTTTATTGAAGAGTTACCACGTACCCCAGGAGAACTCCACAGCCAAATCGATCCACCTAGCTTCAAGTCACCTCGTTTGGACGACGATTCAGCCCCGGATCAGTCTGTTGCAACCGAGCACCAGCCTGAGGAAGATGGGTTGGAACGATCTGAGGCTTCCAGTAAGAGGCCCACTGCTCTCAATGCCGGAGTCAAGCGGAAGGATGCCACCCTACAACATAAGCAAAGCATAAAGATCAACGAGGGGGGTCTGCACACTCAAATGAGGTTGTGGGCATCTGAAATGAAGCGAGCAAGTTCACGTCAAACCAACGCCCTCAGTGCCTTGGGCTTAGAGTCGCAAGATGCTGAAGAAGTCCTGTCCCTTATTATTACCAAAGCTGACTTTGGAAACATGACTATCGTTGGCCAATTCAACATGGGTTTCATCATCGCTGTCCGTTACGCATCAGGCAAAGGGGCTGGTGGTAGTTCTAGCAGCGATGATGAGCTCTTCATCATTGACCAGCATGCTTCGGATGAGAAGTACAACTTTGAACGACTGCAGTCGACGACAGTCGTACAATCACAGCGACTTGTGCATCCGAAGCAGCTTGAACTCACGGCTCTTGAGGAAGAAATCGTGATGGAGAACATTGCTGCCTTGAACACCAATGGCTTTCAGGTGGACGTGGACAGGTCCGGCAATCAACCTGTGGGATTACGATGCAAACTTCTTGCTCTCCCTCTAAGCCACGGGACAACCTTTACGCTGTCTGACCTCGAAGAGTTGATATCTCTCCTGGGGGACCATCAATCTAACGAGGGCGTCTCCGCCCCACGACCCTCCAAGGTCCGTTCAATGTTTGCCATGCGTGCCTGCCGGAGCAGTGTCATGATCGGAAGGGCTCTGGCGCATCAGCAGATGGAGAAGCTTGTCCGTCACATGGGCGAGCTGGATAAGCCTTGGAATTGCCCTCATGGACGACCAACAATGCGCCACTTGAGTGGGCTCGGCTCTTGGGATGAGATAGGGTGGAAAGAAGACAAACCAGGCGTGGACTGGGCCACGTATGCCCGGGGCTAAAGGCGCAATGCGCGAGATGGTCTTTGGAGCAGTATCTCTTCTTCTAATGACTCCCTAACCTGTGCCTCGTTTCATTCACACGACACTGTCTTAGACAGTGACTAAATTCCAGTCAGTTTTCCATCTGTCCTGAGGTAAATTCTCCGCAAACACGAACGTTCTCTGTTTACAGCTGAACAGCGGGAATGATAAACAGTCGCCGTGCGCAGACTTGGCCTCTCTCTTTCTTGTTAGCTAAGTAAAACATAATATCCAGAACATGCGTTGTTCAGCGTCTTCGCCAATGAGTCAGCCTGAGCTGGCCGTCAGCATTTGAGGTCGACATGAATCGTAATATCGTCCCCGAACTAACTCCCGAAAAATCACAAATCCGTAGAGCAGACCATACAGCATCTCATCTCAGTCGAAGGCCTTTTGAAGTTCAAATTCGGCCCTATAGCACGCTGTACCTTGAATAGCCATTTTTGGACCCAGCCAGACCCTCCTCGGCGACTTTGCCGCTCACGTTACGTCGTCCATAGGTGGAGGAGTACGGCTGGTTGTCGTAGTCATTACCGGAGGACACCTGCCGGCTGTTGCCAACCATGACAGGGGGTGTTGCGGCCTTGAGCTCGCCATAGGGTTTTGAGTAGAAGTCAGACTCCGGCTGGATGGAACTGTCGCGGTTGCGTGGCCACGGCTGTCCCGCCAGCGCAGAAAGCCTCGCATCTGCAATATCATTGCTGCCGCTGACCTGACGGGAATTGAGATTCACCTCAGACAAGGCAGAGTTGCGGGGAGGCAAGAACGATGTCTTGGCTCGTGCGGTCGCCGGGTGAGGATTTGATGCTAAAGGATTGGGGTGAGGGTTCCCAAGATCGTTCTCGAAATCGCTACCCGCCAGATCATTTTCATCGTTTTCAGAATCGGAATCCTCCACGTTGTAACGTTGACCCAAAGCTTCGTACGCCTTATCACTCGAAAGCTTTTTCTCTGCTGCAACAGCGACATCCATGGCACGGTTTCTCTTCTGCGTGCGCGAGATAAGCGAGTCCGTGGCGAACCAGGTTTCGGTGAATTTGCCTGCGTTGCGAGCTTGGGTCGGGGAAGAAATAACTCCAGAGGGAAGAGATGACCGGGGGTTATTCGTCTCGTGAAGCGGGACTTCAGTGTAAGAGCCACGGGGCGAAGAACGAGGAATAGACACTCGGTTGTATTCACTAGCGACGGCTGAGTTTCTCGGTGAGTTTCCTAGTGGGATCTGATATTGCCGACTGGGGAGATCGGCGTGAGAATCACGTGTGCGGTTGGTTAGATCAGAGCCGGCTCTCGTCCGTTGGAAAGGAATGCTGGGCGGTCGAGAAAGGTCTTGATACGGTGCACCGGACCGACGTCGCTCTTCAAGGGGCGTAGAAAGTCGCTTCTCGCCCTCGTCGCTAACGCTGGTCGCGACACTGGACTTGTTCCTCTTATGCTTAGCTCGCGAGGTCAGATGATCCTCCAAAGGGTTCATGTCTGGAGGCATCTGAGTGATTTTGCGAAACATGAAGCCGAGCCAAGCGGAAATGCAGAATGATATTAGATGCAAGCCCCCGGCACCGACGAATGTGTAGCTGACGGCCTGAACAAAGTATTCCACGAGCCTCTGGTCAACCCAGCGAGTCGTCCAGGCTGAGCTACTGTTCATGGCCATCAAGGCACCATATGCATAGAGAGGCATGGCGGCTAGGTCAGAGATACCGGAAAAGAGTTGATAAGCGGTGGATGACGCAGGGCTACGGTCCCCGGCTGGCCTGGATAGGTGGTAAATGGCGTAGAAGCAGTGTACCATCACGACGCCGGGCTAGATTTCATCAGCATGGTTATCAAGTGAGCGCGTCGTTTGCAGCAAACGTACCGTGATACGCATGACCCACCCAGCGAGAGCCTCGATGTTGTTTAGCAGGAGGAGGAGGGCAAGCAGGCCTGCAGCCCCAATTAGTTGCAGGACCCTGAGAGCCAGCTGGACGATCCGTATGCTCTTGATCCAGCTCTTCGTCCGAGGACTGAGGGACACATAATTGCTAGACCTATGCGAAAGCACCATCTGAGCGCTGCATGGTGGTTGGTCAGCACGTGATCATCGTGTAGTCCTGGCTCTCGGGCAAAAGAAATCCAGTTGCACAGAAAATGCTCACTCAGGATGGCGATTGAAAGTGACCAACGGCCCAGTGGGCTTGGGCTTGCGCGGCTTCGGCTCCCAACTCGCACGCGTTACTGCTTTAGGGTCGAACTTGGGCTCGGGAAATCGTGAGTCTCGACTGTTGCTGACGGCATTGTAAAGATAGGGCTGCTGAACCATCTTCGCGGCATTAGACTTGGTTGTTTCGTCCTCAGTCGTAGCAAAAAAAAGAGACAGACGGATAGCGAGTGTGTGTGAGTGTGTAGTTTTCAGGAATGCTTCCACAGAAGGCGGCGTTGAGGTGAGCTAGCTGGAATGCCGCTGGCTTGATCCAGTCAGTTTAATGCGCGTTGGGACTTTGCTAGAGGTCTCTGGGAGAGATTGAGCATGTGGGATGATGAAGGAGGGGAATGCCCGTAAGGTGTTGGTGGGTGAGAGCGAGAGGCTTGATAGTTAAGAGTACCTCACCTTGGGGTAAAGACGAGGCAGAGGGATGTGCCAACCTCAGCTAGCAAGATGCTACAGAGATGTAGGTCAGGCAGTGAGAGTAAGATAAAACAGGGCCCGGCAAATCAAGGATTCAAGTGTGCCTGGCTTGACAGTCATTGCCCGTTATCAACATCACGTCTAACGCAGCTTGAAGGCGCCCCTGTTGCCACAGCAACGGGTGTCTAATACGATGTATAGCGCCTGAAACCTGGCCCAGCGCCCAAAGATGGCGTTTCTCACTGGGCTAGGCTCTAAAAGTTGCTTTTTGGACCTCCTACCTACCTTAGGTCAGGTACATATCCACTTTTATCCCGCCGCACTAGTCTTTTGCAGGTAACCTGGAAGACAAGGTCGCAGTGAGCGAGCTGAGACCAAGCCCTCATGTTTGCGCCGTCACTTGGGGATCTGAGGATGTGCTTGACTACGTACCTACCTCCCTACGCACCTTGGATCTTAGCCACATATTTCCATTTTCACGTCTCCGGACAATCCGGGGCTTTTGCGGTTCCGTCATCCCTCGTCCCCGGCAACACCGCCGCTCACACATCTCCGAGAGGCCCGTATTGGGGGCGGATCCCGGTATTATGTCCGAACTCATCCGGTCTGCTACGGTTACTCATCATTGAACTTTTTCTGCTTGGTCTGCCTCCCATCCGTCACTCATAAGCCGAGCTCATCGCACAGTCCTCATCTCCATATCATTGCAATCACTGGGATTTTCGACGATACACTCAGCTGGCGACCCAGCGGGCGAGATTAATCATTGCTTGACCGGCCCAGCAGCACCGCGTGCGTGCTCCAGGACAGTACCGCCATGCTCCTCCTACTCCGAGTCCGGCCGCTTCTAGGCTGCAGCCATGCTCGGCCTCAGGTGGGCACCGGCAACTCAGCGGTCCGCCTGATCAGCACCGAAGCGTCTATCGCAAGGCGAACTCGTTCTCCCGAAGACTCGTTTCGCGTCGCTGTTGTAGGATCCGGCCCCGCCGGTTTCTATGCGTCTTACCGCGTCATGTCTCGGCTCCCAAACGCGAAGATTGACATGTTTGAGTCATTGCCAGTTCCCTTCGGTCTTGTCCGCTTCGGCGTCGCCCCAGATCACCCTGAAGTCAAGGTTGCTTTCTCTCCTCACTCACCTATTTCGGCTCGACTGACGGAACCATCGTAGAAATGCCAAGATAAGTTTGAGGAGGTCGCTGGCTCTCCTAATTTCACATTTGTTGGCAACGTTTCCGTTGGCGAAGCAGGTTTTCATCCGCATAGCTGCACTATTCCGTTTTCGAGTCTACTGCGCCATTACGATGCTGTCTTGTTGTCATACGGGGCAGCAAAGGACAGGACACTTGGTGTTCCAGGGGAATCTGAGCTTCGGGGCATATATTCTGCACGTTCATTCGTTGGCTGGTACAACGGACTTCCCGAGTACGCCGGGCTGGCGCCGGACTTGACCAAAGGCGACGAAGCTGTTATCGTCGGTCAGGGAAATGTTGCTTTGGATGTAGCTCGCATGCTGCTTGAAGATATAGATGTCTTACGCAAAACAGACATCACTGAAGAAGCGTTAGCCAACCTGGCCGTTTCCCGCATCAAGAGGGTTCATGTCATTGGAAGGCGTGGGCCTATGCAGGTGAGCGTAAAACAAAGTCTCCACCGTACGCTCGTAGTTGATAACACTCAATAGGCAGCTTTCACCATTAAAGAGGTCAGGGAGCTGATGAAGATTCCCAGTCTTGCTTTCCATCCCGTCGACCCAACCCTCCTCCCTCCTGAAATCAAGACGCTCCCCAGAGCGGCAAAGAGACTGATGGAGGTAGTAGCCAAAGGCTCAGCTGTCCGGCCCAACGATGTTGCGAGGTCTTGGTCTCTCGATTTTTGCCTGAGCCCAGTAGAGTTTCTCGCCAGCCCGGAATCTCCGTCCGATGTTGGTAGTACCCGGTTGGAACGAACGGAGTTGTCCTCCAAGTTCGACCCCGGTGCCCAGGTTCGCTTAACCGGGGAAACGATAACTGTGCCCTCAGACCTGGTCTTCCGTTCCATCGGCTACAAATCTGTCTCCATACCGGGATTGCAGGAAGCAGGCCTTGCCTTTGATGACCGGCGTGGTGTTGTTATGAACGATGGGCGTGGCAGAGTCTTGCGGCATACCTCGGGGAACTCATCAGAATTCGACGCTTCCCCTGGCGTTTATTGCGCCGGTTGGGTGAAAAGAGGACCAACAGGAGTTATCGCATCGACCATGATGGATGCTTTCGAGACCGGCGACTCAATCGTACAGGACTGGCTGTCCGGGTTCCCATTTCTGTCCGGAACTGACATGAACACCAAGCATGGATGGGCAGGGATCAGTGCAGAAGTTGGCGACAGGGCCTCGAAAAGAGTATCCTGGGCTGATTGGCAGAAGATAGACAGGGCCGAGAAAGACAATGGCCGTGCTGTGGGCAAAGAACGAGAAAAGTTCACATCCACCAAAGCGATGCTCGATGTTATTTCGTGAGCGTAATAGAGGCCATCACCCATGAATAGACTCATCTATGTAGATTACAAAATATTATATCACTGCTTGACCTTCTCAGTCAACTCGGGCACCTTTTCGAACAGGTCTCCAACAAGACCAACGTCTGCGACCTGGAAAATAGGAGCATCCGCGTCCTTGTTGATGGCCGCGATGACCTTGCTGTCCTTCATACCTGCCAAGTGCTGAATGGCACCAGAGATGCCGACGGCCATGTAAAGTTGGGGGGCGACAACCTTGCCAGTTTGGCCTACCTGGAGACTGTTGTCCGCGTAGCCACTATCCACCGCAGCTCTGGACGCACCAACCGCAGCCCCCAAGGAGTCGGCCAGTGGCAGCATCACTTTGTCGAACTCTTCCTTGGACTTGAGGCCTCTGCCACCAGAGACGACTCTGCTGGCAGTTGCGAGGTCTGGCCGGTCGGACTTGGCAAGATCCTCGGAGACCCACTCGGTGGTAGACTCGGACTTGGGGTCGATGCCCGCCTCAACGCCTGCCGAACCACCGGCTATCTCTGCAGCAGGGAAAGCTGTACCCCGAATTGTGATTATCTTGACGGGATCAGATGACTCGACCGTGGCAATGGCGTTGCCGGCATAAATGGGACGAACAAAGGTATTTTCGCTCTCGATAGAAGTAATATCAGAGATTTGCTGAGAGTCCAGAAGCGCAGCAACGCGGGGTAAGAGGTTCTTTCCGAAGGCAGTGTGTCCAGCGATAACGTGGGTGTAGCCGCCCTTCTTGATGTTCTCAACCAACAACGGCGCATAGTTCTCGGGAAGGCCCTGCAAAAGAACAAGAAAAAAAGAGCGTCAGAGAGTCCAGTCCGTATGCAAGATGTCCAAAAACTTCTCCCCTCGGAGCAGAGGCAAACCTTGTCGTATGCGCTGTTGTCAACAGCAATGATCTTCTCTACGCCTTCGACCTTGGCCGCCTCCTCTGCAACTCCCTTGATGTTGCTTCCCGCCACGAAGCCGTGAATTGGTCCGCCGAGCTTCTTCGCCGCGGTGATGGCGCTCAAAGAACCGTGGTTCAATTGACCTTCCCTCTGTTCTAAGAGGGCGAGAGTGGATAGTAGACTCCTCGTCGATCTTGATCGGAGCCCCGGCAGTCCGCTGGTCGCCCAAGCAGCCCCGCTGACAGCGGCTCTTCGGGTTGGGCACAGCATGATGATTTAAACAGATATGGGAAAGCGGAAAGGTATGCTTGAGTTCGAAATGAGAAAAGAACCGCCGAAAACTTGAGAGAAGTAGGTGTTGTACGGCTGTTGTGGTGGACGACGCAAATAGATAGGAACGGTTTGACGGCCCGAGGTTACTACGCCGGGTTCGCATGAAGCCTTCCTCAACTGCCAATGTGCCGTCATCAGAAGGGAGGGCCTTTGGCTAAACGCCAGGGGTGGCTCTAGGTCGAACGAATCGGCTTTATGTCTGCTTTTTCCGGCCGTGCAGCCTCAGGAACAGAGCGTCGGAGGTCACGTGTGAGCGTACGTACTATGCAGTAGAGACGCAACCATGGTGTTCTACTAAATAGGTTACCTAAGCCAAGGTGGTCCCCAGAGCAGGTCGCCACCTACGCTAGGTAACAGTGGAGGAGTGCCCAGTGCTGGCAGCGCCAGGCTTACCTTACCTTACCTACTACTGTCTGTCGCAAGTACCTAGGTACCTGAGGTACCTTGAACAATACCTACACTGTATTATCCTCCCCCAGCATCTCGCGCCAAAATTTCTCCAGGCCCAGACGCGACTACTCCATAACCACCACATCTCGTTACTCAACATCAACACCACGCGCTGCTAGAGGGGTAAACCTGTGGGCTGCATCATCAAACAACCAAAGTCGCCAGTCGCATGCCACAGATTGATCCAATCGACTGTCTCTGACTCCGATTTGCGCGTCGCGCCATTGCATTTACCCGCGACTTCCAGGCAGCCTTGATGTCCGTTGCCTCCTGAGGTCCCTTCGCCCAAAGTTATCATGGAGGACCAGACTACCTACGGCTTATCTAGTGCTGCCTCCCCCGGCAGCAACCCAATCCTTTCTCAGCCGCCGTTGCAGCCTGCTGCAACTACATCTGGAGATGGCGCCGAAGGTACATGTTCCCGTCTGACTCTTCCGTTGTCGACGCAGCCCCAACTAAATCAACCTCACTGAGCAGACGTCCAGATGACCGAGGGCCATATCGCGGAACCCAACATCAAGCAAGATAGCGCGACGCCTGCACCCGGCGTGACTTCCGACAACCCTCTCGATGCCCCCGATGGCCCAGCGCCCGAGGCTCCCCAAGACGAGGACATGGCAGGTGCACGCGACGAGGTCAAGGACGGCCAATCGAAAGAGGGGGATGATGCCGCAGCTGGAACCGATGCGGATGGGCAGGACTCCAAGACCAAGGAGACGCTGGAAAATGCGGCTCGGGAGCACCTCATCTCTCAGACACACGCCATCGTCCTGCCAAGCTATAGCACCTGGTTCGACATGAACACCATTAACGACATCGAGCGCAAGGCCATGTCTGAATTCTTCAACAGCCGCAACCGCAGCAAAACCCCGGCCGTTTACAAGGACTACCGCGACTTCATGATCAACACGTACCGTTTGAACCCGGTTGAATACCTTACTGTCACAGCTTGCCGACGCAATCTGGCCGGAGATGTCTGCGCCATTATGCGGGTGCACTCTTTTCTTGAGCAGTGGGGCTTGATCAATTATCAGGTAAGTTTCTTTTGGTTTCCATCTTTATGGGTGTATGCTGCCATGATCAGGGTTAACAGTGAACCAGGTTGATGCCGAGCAAAGACCATCGCATGTTGGCCCACCATTCACCGGCCACTTCAAGATCATCTGTGACACGCCCCGTGGTCTTCAGCCGTGGCAGCCGTCTTCTGATGCGGTTGTGTCGGCTGGAAAGCCTAGCGCGGACACAGAGAAGAAAGCGTCGGCGACGTCTGGCCCCAAGACCGACGTCAACCTCGAGGTTAGCCGTAACATATACGAGGCAAGCGCCAAGGGCGCAAAGCTCAACAAGACGGAGCCTAAGACCAATGGAGATGCACCAATTACCAATGGCATCTCAGGTGTCGAGGAGGCAACGAAGACGCCTATTGTTAAGGTCAACTGCCATACCTGCGGTATTGATTGCACCAGACTATACTATCACAGCTCTCAAACCGATCCCAACTCCAAGACCAAGTACGACGTCTGCCCAAGCTGCTATCTTGAAGGCCATCTGCCTGGCAACCAGACCAGTGCTCAATTCACTAGGATGGAGAACCCCACTTACACAACTGTTCTTGACCGAGACGCGCCTTGGAGCGATGCGGAAATCCTACGACTCCTGGAAGGTATCGAGAGGATGGATGACGACTGGAATGAGATTGCGGACCACGTTGGCACTCGCACTCGTGAGGAGTGCGTCTTACAGTTTTTGTCCCTAGACATCGAGGGCAAGTACGCAGACGACCTTGCTGTTAACGCACCTACGGGTCTTGCCATGCTTGGAACACAGGGTGGCCACCTTCCTTTCAGCCAGGCGGATAACCCTGTCATGTCTGTGGTTGGGTTCCTCGCGGGTCTCGCAGATCCTGCGAGCACGGCTGCTGCTGCCAACAAGTCGGCCGAGGAGCTCACGCGGAAGCTGCGCAGGCGTCTGGAGGGAGGCGACTCAGGCGAGCAGGCGACTACTAACGGCAAGGGCAAGGACAAAGATGGCGACTCGATGGAGATTGACGTGGCCACAACCACCACCACCACTACAACCACAACGACTCTGGCAACGATCCCGATGGCCACGATGGGTGCCCGGGCTGCTGGTCTGGTGTCACATGAGGAGCGCGAGATGACGCGACTTGTTTCAGCGGCGGCCAACCTCACACTTCAAAAACTTGAACTGAAGTTGAAGTACTTCAACGAGATGGAGGCCATCTTGCAGGCGGAACGAAGAGAGCTTGAGCGGGGCCGCCAACAACTATTTTTGGACCGCCTTGCATTCAAGCGTCGTGTTCGCGAAGTGCAGAACTCCCTGAAGACAGCAGTTGAGGCGGGTGGGGATCAGGGCCTCAAATTGGCTCAGGACGCCATGACGGACGGCGCGAGTCTTACGTTCCAAGCTGTTCCTGGATCCAGTGCAGTACAGCCATTGAGCAGCGAGGGCCAGATCAAGAGCTTCGAGGCTTGAGTGATCGCCACCGATTGGGTAGCCAAGAGCAACTGAGAAGTCGTCAAAAATGATGGAAGCGAGTGACGGCGGCGACGGAGGGTTGATGTTTCCGTGTTCTTTCTTTTTCTATTCCGAAGGGTTTGGGTTGGCGACGACTAAGGTAGGAGGAAATGGAACGAATAATTGCGGGGTGTGATTTGACATCGTTTTGGTATTCCAGGGCAGGCGTCCAAGGGATTCCGAAGGCTCGGCGACGCATTGTCTCCTGGTGCAAGTACGTGTATTAGATACATAAAGCCATTTACCTATCTGTATGATCTCTTGTTCATAAGCGGACGCTCAAGGCTCGCAAAAGTCGACTTTGTGCAGCGCCTCGGGGGTGTATTAGTAGCATCAAAGCTAGGCTTACGAGATGGGTTGGGAGGGAGTCGAAGATCCCCGTGCTCCGAAACTACGAAAGGAATTCTGGTCCGTTCGTCCAGGACATCCGTTAGCCCAGTCCGGAACAGTCCGGTGTCTTGTTCATCCGTTCTTTGTGCCGTGAGTGGCTCCATATGACAGAACCCTCTGTGCCTGTCGCCTGCTAGACCTGCGTGCTACGATAGGGAAACACATGACTGAGAGGAAAGAAGACGACGAGGGAGATGGAAGCAACGCCTGAGTCTGCTCGCATTACACTGCTGCCAGGGCCGGCGCGAAGCGCGGGTCGCCGTTTGGCCGGGTCCCGCACCCGGGCATACCTACGCGAACCCCGAGCCTACTGTGAAGGTTGGATAAGGCTCTCAAACGCGTCAAGAAAAGCAGCATCCAACTCGATCGTGGA